CTCCCTCTGCCATGCTTCAAAGCACCAGAGCGTTTACACATACCTAGTGCCCCAGTTTTTACCTCTGGTGTCCCAGTTTCTGCAGCTGCTGCCCAGGAATGATCTTGCCCACCTACCTCTGGTGGCCAGAGGACTTGTGTTCCTGGGTCCTGCAGGACTATAAACTGGAGAGACAGTTCTTGGCAGGTTACCACCTCCTGGGCACCAGAGAGTGGACTGAACCCCCCACCCCCACCCCCGCACCCGCTGTCTTTCCGCAAAAAAGGCCTATTTGCCTGTCTAGGATGTTCGGCCTGCAGGGCAGATTTCTGGTTTGGCATATCTAGGAGCCTATGGAAATGCTCCTGGGGAGTGGAGGCTGGTGGACACAAGCTTTGTGCTCTCCCTCTGCCTTGTCCCAGCTCACTGGTATCTTCCGGAAAGGAGCTTATACACTCATCTGGCACCCTGACTACTGCAACTTGCACCCAGGAGACACATTAAAATGCTTGGTTCTGATGTCCAATGGGGACTTATGCTTGCGTTCCCACAGGCCTATATATATTTGCATACTTTAAAAGCTGCAGCCTGATCGATCTGGCTTCCAATCAGTCTTAATTTAGATGCCAACTGAGATTCTTCCCCCTTGGACACTAACAAATCTTTGCACACACTTAAAGGTTTGAGAGACAACCAAAAGCTAATACAAAGTTGAAAGAGAAAAAGTTCATCTAAATAAGTCCACTCTTTGAAGTCAGAGAGATGTAGCTGTTTTATCTAATGCATAGAAACCAACACAGAGAGTCAAGCAAAATGAAGAAATAGAGAAATATGTTCCAAACAAAAGAACAAGATAAAACCTCAGAAAAAAAATCCTTAATGATAACAAAGATAAGTGATGTACCTGATAAAGAGTTCAAAATAATAGTCATACAGATGCTCACCAAACTCAGGAGAAGAATGGATGAACACAGTGAGAACTGCAATAAAGAGAAAATATAAGAAAGTAGCAAACAGAAGTAACAGAGCTGAAGAATATAAAAGTGCACTGAAAAATATACTGGAGGGATTCAACACCAGACTAGATGAAGCAGAAGGATCAGCGTACTGGAAGACAGGACAGTGGAACTCACCAACCTAAGCAGCAAAAAAATAAAAAACAAAAAAGTAAAGGTTGCTTAAAGGACTTATGGGATAACATCAAAAGGACTAATATTTGTATATAGGGGTCTCAGAAGGAGAAGAAAGAGAGAAAAGGGCAGGAAACTTATTTGAAAAAATAATGGTTGAAAACTTCTCTAACTTGGGGAAGAAAACAGACATCTAGATCCAGGAAGCCCAGAAAGTTCCAAAAAAGATGAACCCAAAGAGACCCACACCAACATACATTATAGTTAAAATGCCAAAAGTTAAAAACAAGAAGGGAATTTCAAAAGCAGAAAAAGAAAAACTTATTACGCATAAGGAAACCCCCATAAGACTGTCAGAGTATTCCACAGAAGCTTTGGCAGGCCAGAGGGAGTATCATGATATATTTAAAGTGCTGGGAAAAAAAACTCCCAACCATGAGTACTCCACCTGCCAAAATTACCATTCAGAATTAAAGGAAACATAAGAGTTCTGCATGCGAGCAAAGGCCAAAAAGGAGTTCGTAACTACTAAACCAGCCTGATAAGAATTATTAAATGGACNTGGACTGGAGCATAGCAGATGTTTAACAAATATTAGCTCTCTTCCTCCTTGGTAATGATGAAACTAAAGTGACTAATGAGACACCAAAATATTTAGCTTCCAGGTCTAGTGTTAAATAACAGAAATGAGTCTACCCAGAATTTTTGGTTTGCCAGTATTAATGGTTTTAGGGTTTTTGAAGTTTAAGAAATAAAACAATGCCAGTTCAGTTTAAGGCCCTAAGGTATTCCTCCCAAATAGCATTGCCTCCCCTGCAACACACAAAGTAAACACTGTCCTGAATTTAATATTTATCATTCCGACCTAATTCCTTATACTTATTGACATGCGTGTTCCTAAACAATAGAAAGTTTAACAGTTGTTTTAGAAATTTTATTACATGTCAATGGAAAACACTAACTATTTAAGTAAAAGATATTTTACAATACTTTGTAGCAACAGTATCAAGAAATTCTTTGAAGTTAAATCACAAAGTTTTAAAATACCTGCTTCAAGGGAGTTGTGGTATTCTTTTTTTGGCTTTTATTCTTCTTAGCAGGTTTTCTTTTAGGTGTACCTTTTGGTTTATCTGAAGTTTCAGAAATGTCACCATTCTTTAGAGCATGCTATGAAAATATGAATAGAAATGTACATGTTACAGAATAATACAGAAAAAGTCATAATATAACTCAGTCATCATAAGCTAGTCTCAAGGCCCTACCAACTAGATAGCCTCTACTTCTGCTTGTCACCATCCCATCCCATGTGATACAGAAACTGCTCTCAAAGGCATCATATAGCTGATTATCAGCTCTCAAGACCCCTTTAATCTAATCTTCTCACTCTCAAGCTTTCTGTGACATTAGACTCTCTTGATCATCTTTCTTCTTGATATTCACATTTTGGATGACACAGCCATGCAGAGCCCCATTGCTTTTATTATTTCTCTGATCAAGTCTTAAACTTAAGCATTCCAAACATAATTTGGCTTTACCTGATTATGATCACCTATTCCTATTACTTCAATTATAACCTCTATGCAAACAGACTTCCAAAGCTACTACCCAGCTCTGACTTTTCTTGTTAGTTCAGTCCAACATTTTCAATTACCAATTTCATATCTTCGCATTTACCTCAAACTTAACACAAATAAAAGCAAACTATTTTGTCCTCAAATCAGTTCTTTTCCTCTATGCAAACTACTGGCCCCTGCAATGTCACCAACCCCATCCATATTGAGCCCCATTTTAACCTGCATTTATTAGAACTCTCCTGGTAACCCTGAATTAGTGTACTTCTAGTCTTAAGTGTATACTGGAAAGCATGCTATTGACACATTTAGAATTTAGCTTCAAAGATGACATACAGATTTCATCTTTTTACCTCCTGCTACAGGAACGACTATGGGAATGAACTGGACTCTATGCTTGGTATTCTGCATGAGTGGATGCTCTCTGCCTGGACCATTAATGGTTTAAATATGGTGCTCAGTAAAACTAGTACCTCAGACAGTAAAGTGATGATGTTGGGCAACTGTGTTAAGTGTCTTGTTTGGACTACAAAAACAGACTATACCTCCTAAAAGAACTATATATTTAAACCATCAGGAACACCCGACTTGATACCCAACTCACTGGATTTGGGGAAGATTAATTTAACGTATGTAAAGCACTTAGAACAGTGCTTAGAACATTGTAAACGCTCTATAAGTATTAATTACTATACTATTGCTATTTATCATCATTCTTTCAATAAGGGTTTGTTAAATGTTTAAAAATTATAATTCAGATTGTCTTTCCACTAATCTGATTTAGAAGCCTTCCATAGTGTGACACAATGTAAACATATTAAAATCAACAAATGTTTAAAATTCTAGTTACAAGTAAATTGCCTCTGTTAAAGGGGGATGACATACAGACAGGCTACCGACCAACTTCTAAAGGAGGATATCTAATTTAAATAACCCATGTTATATTTTAATCTTCAAAATTAGAACTGAATAATATGTACTATAAATGTTATCAATTGATTTTTTTCCCAAATGAATAATATGAGTAAATAAGGAAAAGAGTAAACATTTTATACCTTAAACGAAGCGACAGCTTTATCATAGGCTTTTATCAATGCTGTATCATCCCAAATGTCAGAATCATCACTCTGGGAAGGGTGAAGAATAAAAACAATTCAAGTTCGGGTGGGCAGCATCAAAAAAAGTATGTTAGTGCCAAAAGACATCTTAATTCAAACATAATAAAATAAAACTAAAAATGGGTATTTAAAATCCTAACTATAACCACAAGAAGCCTACCTGCTTAGATATTATGTGACATTACCCCCAAACTAGACATATGTAAATGTCCTAAGAGGTATGCCATGAAGTGAATGCTCCACAATTTAATCCTGACCATAAGTGGATTTGTTCAAGGGTAACTCACATTTCAGTCTCTTCTAAGAGTGGATAAAGGGTTTAACTTGGCAAACCAAGGATAAGATAAAGGGTTTAGTTTTAGTGGGAAAACATCTGATATTAAGTAATCTGGAAAAAACCTAAAAATCATTTCTATTTTTCAATTTAAATTTAATAAGTGCTTAGTAGGATTTAAATTTAATTTATTTAAAATTTTTTGAGCACCCACTATCTATGTATATCTACTAAGTACTCATCATTGAGAGGCACATGAAATCATGCTACCTGCTCACAAGAGAGAGTCTAATAAGAAATTTAAAACATATTGACACACAAAACAAACAATAGAAAACAAGTATAATCAAATACTAAAATGTGAAGTACAATGTTTTAATTAAACGGAAACAAATGGATTTTCTCCAGTTCAAGACTATGACACAGAAGATCCTGAATTCACCTCCTCCCACGGGACACCAAGCCTAGAGCTACGCTGGGAACTATTTCCTCTGAAAAAAATCTAAGGATTAGTTGAGTGACTCCTGTACATCAGGCAAATGAGAAAAAATTCCACATTGAAGCAGGTAGGAGAGGCTGAGCACAATCTCACTGTAAACCCTGACCCTGGCACAGCAATCCAAAATCGNGTCCCTAAGGTCCAGTTGGCATTTATCACCTCAAACTTTCCTCTATGTACAAAAAGAACCTAATCTTTTTGTCTTTCTTTCTCCTTTTTGGAGGCAAGGTATTATCCTTTTTTTTTTTTCCCCATCTCCCACAATCCATTTTATTCCAAAACAGAAAGACTAATGAGAATGGAAATAATTTAGAAAGAGTGTCATTAAATTAGAAGATGTACAATCAAAATAATCTAATAATACAGATTTTTAAATGCACTGCAGTTAGTAGAGACAACACAAGAGTAACTTAAGCCTTAGACATATCATTGTATTTTTCAAACTTTAGGATAGTTTTTAACTATCTTAGGATCTGCCTAACATAACAAACCATCCTTTAGTCAAAAACACAGAACCACAAAAGTGATTGTCAGGAAAAGACGCTGAGTGATCACTTACCATATAGTAACCAGTATGATAGCCACTCATGTACCAAGAGATTAACATACTTCCCAAAGCATCAGCATCATCAAGAGAATCTGAACATATGGGAGGTGGTGGGGGAATTATCTGGAAATGGAGAAAAATATACTTTAAAGTTAGTAAACAAAAATGTGAAGTGTGGAGATGCATTTTATGGCGAGAATGCTGGATGTTAGTTGTATCTTTCCCTACATTCTATGTCATTTGTTCAATTTTTTTTTTATAAAATCTGACATGTGGAGAAAGCCAACCAGTAACAACAAAAGACCAATAAAACTAAACTGAACAAGAATCAAAAGACAATAGGTCACGTAAAATGTTTAAATACTTTGCTTTGATTTGAACTATTTTTCTGCTCCATTATGAAGCTATGGGTAAAAGACCAAGCATATATACTTTGATGGTTTTCCTCAAAAAACACCCACAACAGCATTTCAAATAAAGGTCTTGGGTAGAACATCTGCATTGCCCTGATACCAACACACAGTTTGCCAAAAGTGTCTTTGTATCTAGCCTATTGTTGTTATCTAAAAGTCTAACATTAGATATCTGGAGAGTCTGTGAGACAGAAGCTAACATCCAAGCATACCTGGAAGGGCAAAACATAAATCCTTATGTGCAGTATAATTAAATCCTTTCAAATAGGAGCTACCTGTCTACAGAATAAGATACAACCTCTGCCAGGAAGGAAGAAGGCAACATAGGGCTAAGAGGTGGGGTTATAAGAGAAATGAGTCTGGGTAGCAGAAGGGCATTAAAACAAAATCCTCGAGGTTTAGTTAAAAATTTTACCCATTAGAACCTGGCCCTAGGGATTGTCTATATAATGACAATTCCTAATCGCCTATGTTCTGCTAAATCTCAAACTATGTATGAAAGAAAAGTTTAATCTGAATTGTTTTGCACTTACTGGTGGTCCAGAAGGAAACGGAGGCAACCAGCATGATAGGAAGGGTGGTGGTGGTGGTGGTGGTGGGCCATTGAATTTTAGATCTGGCTGTAAAAAGTATTTCAAAGGAAGACTAATTTATCAATTTCAATATGAAAGGTGGAAAACAGTCAACATCAAAAAAATTAAAATAACTGCCCAGAATATCTAAAGGTTAAATAGAATTGCATGTAGCAAGTGCTGAAGTCAAATAGACTCGTAAATATAGATTTTTCTCATTTCCTTTCTATACACATTCAGGGAGTAAAACCAAAGTAAGAAACATATTTAATTACCTAATAAATCAAGAGATAGTGTATTTAGCAAGATATTTCAATCATAAAAGACTATATCCCTCACAATTTCATTAACTAAATTGTGTAATCTTTTTATGGATGTCCCTTTGGTAGTTACTTATGCTTAGAGCATATATTATAAAAATTAGTAAATGTCTCACTTAAGAAAAATTAGCGGAGACCAATGAAACAATATATATATGTAAATTAAGTTTTGATCATTCTAGAAACTGTAATATAATGAAAACCTCAAGAAGGATCTCACAGATAATCTGAGGAAAAGTTTTACTAAGTCATGCTTAATTTTTTGATTTTTAAAAAATTAGTATTGCCTGAATAACACAACCTCCAGTGAAGAAATCACTGCTTTATACAAAACAACTAGACAGACATACCTACTTGGGTTCCATGATATCACCTAAAATATAAATCTTTTTAAAGTTGATTTATTACTTATAACCAAAAGAACCATAAGTGAAACAATATTTACATTTTACTCTATACAACAATCTGGGAGCTCCTTAGGATTTTACCTGTATTAGATGTAAATACAGTAATACCTTGGTTTGCGAGCATAATTAGTTCCGGAAACAAACTACTCGTATTGCAAGACATCGCTTGTTTACCAAGTTAAAATGTATTAGAAATGTTTGCTTGTCTTGCGGAACACTCACAAACCAAGTTACTCACAATCCAAGGTTTTACTGTACTGTATTCTCTTGTAATTTTTAGTTTTACACAAGTGACTGGGAACTACAGCTTAAGGATAAAATACCGTACTTTCTAACTTAAGTTCACTACATTATTAGTCTAATATTCAATACTCCATATATCTAGTTGGAAAAGCCTTTCATTATAAACTATTCTGCATTGCTATCTTATTTCCTTTTCAAAAAATTCTCAGTTTGTATTTATAACATCTACAGAAAGTTACAAAAGTTTCATGGGAAAAGCTACAATTCTTTTAATGGAGGGGTACAATGTTCCAGTATTATTAACTATCTCCTGGGAAACTTTTTCTGTGCAGAAATTACCTTTCCTGGTCCCATTCCTGATCCTGGCATGGGGGGTGGTGGAGGGAGAAAAGAGTTCCATGGAGCAGCTTTTGACTTGATGTTATTTGGTTTATTTCCAGGAGACCTGGAAGAGTTCTCACTTTCATCTGTTGAAATTTGACTTTCATTTTCATTCTTTAAAAAGAAAAAATATACGTATTTTTGTTATACAGGTGTCTTTTAAAAAAAAATGTAATGCCTCAGTGGATCAAACTGACAACTAGTTATACTGTTTAGTTTCTCATCTTGTCTCTGCTTTCAAGAATTCTTTTTTTTTTTTTTGGTATCCTTACCTCCTGAGCATTCTTTTCTATATTATTAGCTACTTCAGACGTTGGGGAAAGTAGATCGGACAGATTTTGCTCCTCTCTATTTCCATATCCAGTGTAAACCACAACACAGGTTTCTCTCTTAAAATCAACTGAAGCAATGGTAGCTGGGTAAATGCATCCATCTTCTGACCAAATGGCAGAACATTTGTCACCAACTTTCCACTAAAAAAAAAACCCAAAGATACACACACGCATATTTATTTTAAAGATGGTAAACCATAATCTTGTTTTGGTGGGGTAGGGTGGGGAGTGGAAGGGAGTCTCTAGCTAACTTATCTGGAAGGCAGAATGAAACAGTGAAAAAGACGTGAGACCAAAAACACATACATTTGAATTCTAATATAAAAACAATTCTGCTATTTATATAATCATGTATATAAGTTCTGCCATTTTTATAATCATGGATAAGTTTCTTCATCCCTTTGAGTCTTATTTTCCTTATCTGTTTAATGGATATAATATAATCTACCTCACTTATTTGTTGTGAAGAATAGAAAGGAAGGAATGTATGTAAAGACAGGACTGGAGGGCTGGCCGAGTGGCCCAGTTGGTTAAGAGCTTGCTCAAGAGTGCGAACTCTGAGCAACAGCGGTTCGAGTCCTGGCCCGAGCTGAGCTGCCGCTGAGCTGCCAACAGGTGGCAGGATGGCTCAGCTAAAAANGCCTCCATGTGGGATCCGAACCGGGGCCCTGCTGCTCAGAACTGGCGTCCCAAGCCAGCTCTTAACCAACCTGCCACTCGGCCGGCCCAAAAACATTGAACATTTGTATTACGTACTTTGCAAACATACAGAAAATAGAAAAAAAACAGTAAAATGAACATCAATGCACACACCACTTAGATTCAATAGCCATATATGCCTCATGCACACACATATATACATTTTGCTAAATCATTAAAAAATATATTAAGAGACATTTTAATACTTCACATCTAAATCCTTTAGTATGCAAATTTAAAGACATTCTTTTATAAACTACAACATCCTTATCACAGCTCATAAAATTTTCCATAGTTATCTAATATCATTTAAAATCCAGTCCATAGTCAAATTTCCTCAATCCCCAAGTCTTTTCAAACCAGGGTCCAATCAAGGATGCCACATTGTATTTGGCTATGGTGTCTCTGAAGTCATTTTTAATCTAGAATAGTTACCCACTCCATGCCATTTTTTCTTTCATGACATTGACTTTTGAAGAAATGAGGCCAGTTATCTTCTACAATATTCCACATTGTGGAGCTGTCTGATCATTTCTTTTGTAGTGTCATTTAACTTGTTGCTCTATCCCCAGTATTTCTGGTAAATGGGAAAGTAGATCTTAAAGGCTTGATCAAATTCCAGTTACACTTTTTTTGACCAAAACACTTCATAGGTAACACAATGTTATTTCATACTGCATCACGAATCAAAAAGCAAGTATCGCTGTCTGACCACAGTGATGAAGTTTCATCACTGATTCTAAGGATCTCTTTATTGAAAAGTATGTTTTTCTTTCCACACTACCAACCAACAAGTATTTGGTGAGATGATACTGTGACGTCATGAGAATTCTAGAGGGCTTATAGATAAACCTTTTATCAAAGTCTTTAATACTGTTTTATATTAAGTTTTCTACTTTTTAACATTTCCATTTTTAAAATGTTTTCCACAAACTATAAAATTTATACAAAAGTAAGATTCACTTTTATAATGATGGCAGACTTACTCCTTAATTAAAATGTGAGCACCTTCCTTCTTTCTGATTTTGTTTGAAACCCTGTAAGAAAAATAAATAAATTTAAAAGAATAGCATACACATTTTATACAGATGTGAATAAGCATTTTGTTTCACATAAGACATTTTACTAATTCTATTTAACAAAATATCACTGGAAAGTAAGTTTATAGTCTTCCAATGCTTTAAAAGTGATCCCAAAGTAAATAATTAGGCTGTAATTAAGAAATTTCCTTCCTTCACTAAGTCCAATGATGTTCATGAGCCCATTTATACCTTATTTCCATCAAATAAAATATATAATTGTCATNCAGTGAAGCAACGTCCTCCACAACTAGACTGAAGAACAAAAGGACAGCAACTTGTCTGTTCCCCTTCCCCCAATTCCCCAGCATTGTTCCCATCCCCCAAATTCCCCAATTAAAAAAAAAAAGTACAGCCTTTAAAAAAAACAAAAAACAAAAAAAGAACATTAAATTTCTTCATGAACTGGAACCAATCTTTGTGCATATGAAATTTTCAGACCAAAAACCTACTTTTTGTGACTCTTGGAAGTTGCCCCTAGTCAAATAAAGAATTCAAATGATTAGTAATCAGATTTCCAATTTGAATAACATATTGGAATTGTCACGTGAAATAGTGAATATATAAGGCCAATTAGTTCCTTATCCCTACCTTACTTTAGGCTCTAGGGTCAGGATGTGAATCAGAGATGCATCAGTGATTTGTGTATAGAGTACACACCAAACTGTTAAAACAGCAGAACATTGAAAATTCCAAATGATGTTTTGGAAGAATATTTGAATTATAGAATGGGCAAATGGTATAATACATGAACAACAGATAAAATCAGTCATCCAGTATGTGAGGTTTGGGTTCCCTACCCATATACATCATGTGCCAAAACTACATTCTAGGTGATTTTTATAAACTTAGGATAGGTGAAGTCTTAAGATAGACACAGGAAACCACACAAGGACTGAAACCTCAAATACCTTTTGGGGGTCAGGCAGATAATAGAAATGAGTTAAGGAAGAGTTGGCAATAAGGGGTAGTGGGTCCTGTAATCAGTAAATTTAAGATTATCCCTCCACCCCACCCCAAACTCACTCCACCTACTCCACCCAAATAAAGGTGTTTGAGTTCATATTAAAAATTCGTAACATGTTACACAGGACAAGTCTGTCAGTTGACATCCTCACTTATAAGGAAACTATACATTTTATTATGTAATTTAAAATTATGGCAAAAGCAACATAAAATGAAAAGACAAAAAATAGTTTGGAAAATATTTGTAACATGTAAGAAAATACTACTAATATTCCTTACATATATAAAAAGAGCTTTGTCAAATTAAAAGTAAAAACAGCAAAATAGACAAAGATAAAAACAAAGTAGTCATAGAGGAAAAAAAATGTCCAATAAATATAAAAATAAGCCTAAACTCTGGAAGCTCTGTACTCAGTCTGCCTCGGTTCATATCCTTAACCTGCCACTTACTAGCTGGTGACCTTGGGGGAAATTCCTTAGCCCAAATCTCATTTCTTTATAAATACGGCCATCACTGTAGTACCTACATGTGAAGACTAAATGAAATAAAAAGCATAAAGCAGACAGAAAACATGGGGAGTTCACCAAAAAAAGTTACAAATGTCCAATAAACAATGAAAATATGCTCAAGATCTATAGACACGGAATTGCAAATTAAAAACTAAGAATCATTTTTCACTCAGGTTGGCAAAATTATTAGAGATTAATAGTATCTGATGTTATCAATAGCATGGAGCTATGAAGTGCTACCCTCCCATCGAAAAACATGTTTAAAATTACAAACACATATACCTTTGCCCTAGGAATCCTACCTTTAAGAATCCATTCTCACATAAATAAAAGCACCAGTACATGGGGTTAAGTATGCCAATATACATATATGAGTATTATAGAATTTGTCATGGGAAAAGCTTACAAACACCTTGATTGTCCCTGAGTAAGGAAATGACTGTAGAGATTATTGTAAATCTACACTATGTTCAGATCTATATGTAATGACTTATAGTCCTATTTTTAAAAAGTATCAAGTTACAGCTAAGTTTCCCATTTTTGTAAAAAAACCTCCTTGTAGTGGGGTGAATGGTAGCCCCAAAATGGTATGTCCACCAGATACTTGTGAATGTGACCTTATTTGGGAAAAGGTTTTTGCTGATGCAATTAAAGGTCTCAAGATGAGATCATTGTGGATTAGAGTGGACCCTAAATCCAATGACAAAAATCCTTAGAAGAGAGAGGAAGAAGGCAGAAAAGAAGACCATGTGAAGACAAAGGCTGAAATAGAAGCTTTGCTGCCACAACTCAGGTAATGCCTGGAGCCACTAGAAACTAGAAGAGGAATCCCCCTAGAATCTTTCCCCTAGATTGGCCCTGCTGAGCCCTTGCTTTTAGACTTCTGGCCTCTAGAATTGTGAGAATAAGTTTTTGTTGTTGTAAACCACCAAATGTGTGGTAATTTGTTATGGCAGCCCTAGGAAACTCCCCACATCCCTTAGTTATGAGTATATGTGTGTTTAAACGTGTGCATAAGCATTGAGAGGAATATACAACTATTTTATATATCCTATGGCCCAGCAATTCCAGTCTTAGATAGAAATAAGTGCTTATGACCACCAAAAGATATATATATATATATATATTCATAATAACCCCAACGGAGAGTGATCCAAATGTCCATGAAGAGTAAAGTGGATAACTAAATTATGGTATATTCATATAACAGAAAAGCTACACAGCAATGAGAAAGCGTCAACTGCTACACACAAGATAGAAGTCTCATAGATGCAATGCTGAGCAAATGAAGCTAGACTCAAAAAAGTACATACTGGATGATTCTACTCATCATCCAAAAACAATAACAACAAACTAATCCATGGTGATAGATAGAGGACCTTATCTAAAAGTGGTAACGGGGAAGCTTGCTAGGGTGCTGCAAATATTTATGTATCTTGATCTGGGTGGAGTATTTTTATGTAAAGACAATCGAAATGCTGTATTCTCTTTATTATCATTTCACTGGGATACATACCCAGGAGTGCAATTACTGGGTGACATATAGTAAAGGTATGTTTAGTTTTCTAAGTAACTGCCTAATTTATTGCTAAATTTCTTTTAGCCCTTTTGTTGCATTTTCTCAATTTTTCTATAATGAGCAGGCATTGCATTTTTGGGCTTTGAAAGCTGGTAGAGATACAAATGGTATAAACTTCATTGTTGCTTCTCACACTTCAGATATTCACTTGCCACCTTCATGATTTGCATTTTCATATATCTGTATTTTTAAAACGTAGTCTTCACCTTACAATAAAAGTATTGGACTCTTATTTCATTTTAGTCTGCACAGCATCCATTCACACTTCCATCTGGCAACTAAACCCCAGATTTGTTTGGGGGACCACATATTCCTCATTAGATATAGTTTTTTTTATACCATCAACTCAGGTGAACTGTCCTCCTCTTGCTGGGGGCTAGGCACATAAGCCAAACGTGTCCATTTGGAGGCACTCTAAGTGACTAAAGGCTGAAAATGATTGTCAGAATTTCAGCCTGATAGCAGCACTGTAGAAAAAAAATGTCTTCATGATAGCTGGAGGTTTCAACTCTTAACCTTTCCAAAGCCTTGAGTCTTCAACTTTTGGACCCTGGAGTCTCTCATCCTTTTTAAATAATGGTTGTGGTTATTAATAAATTGTTTGTTATTAAAAATTCCAATATATTATGAAATCAGTTTTGACATGGTCATATTTGCTCAAGCATACATTAAAATACATAACTCAATATTAAATATCCATTCATAAGCCACCATAACAATCATCTTGAGTGGTACAAGGCCAAATGAGCCTTTGACCCCTGCCCGCAAAAAAAGTCCTTGACATGCAATATGTTTATAGAAAGAAAGTATTCAATATGAATGTGTCTTGATTTCAGTGAGACTGGTAAGTCATTTCTTGTAAACTCACAAGTGTGGAGAAAGGCTCCACCAAACTATACTGCAAGGAAAAGTTCCTGCACTGATATACCTGTAAGCAAAGTCATGTCCAAAGGATAAAGTAGCAAGAATAGTATGTGGCATGGAAATTATTTCTATAAATATTATAATGAAAACTTAAAAGCCAAATTTTCCTGGGCAAATGGTCTATTAGCAAATGTGTATTAGCTAATTAGTGCTATGTAATGGGTTTTTGTTCTTAAGAAGCAAAGTTGTAAGGAAAAGCCTGTAGTAAGGCTTTCTGAAATTTATAGGGAAGTGCATTTGAGCAACCTGTAGTCATTGTTCTTATCGCAGTGACATTTCCATAACTTGGTCATCTGGAAAGACAACCCATTCCAATACATGATTATTATATAGCAAGTACTTTAGCAGATGAAGCTCTAAGAAGCAGTTCAATAAGTGTTCTTATTCAGTTTTGATCTAATGGAAAACATTGAATGACAATTTCATAAAAATAATTCAATTTTTAACTGAATTTTGGTGTTTATAGGTCTTTATCACCAAAGGCAATTAGGAATTTACCTAAAGAAGTTGACATGCTCCCTGCTTAGTTTATATCACTGCTAAAACCCCAACACAGATGTAAAATGTACAAATCTCATAATCTGATAGTGAAAGTCAATTTTATATTAGGTTTTCACTTTAGGGATATGTTTTTTTTCCCCAGCTTTGTTGAGGTATGATTGACAAAAATTGAATATATTTAAGGTATACAATGTGATGATTTAATACATGTATACATTGTGGGGGATATGCTTTTTAAAGTTCAATAGTTTTGAAAGATTGTAGACTCAAAGCTAACAGCAGTAGTACACCTGCCTTAAAGAGGAAAGGCTCTTTTTACAAGGTAGAACTTGAAAATATTATACAAAAATAGATTGTCAGTTTCTAGAAGTGGGTAAACTCTTCCCATTTATAAAAACAAGGGGGAAAAAAAAGAGAAAAAAAATTTTTTTTAAAGTTGGGAAAACAACGTCAGTAATCAATATTCCCTTTTAGACCAATTTTCAAAAACAGACTAGTTTGATAAGTGGATAAAAATTTCTTACACTGCCACTAATAGAAAAGGCATTCAAAAGGAATTAAGTAACTGATGAAACTGACCTCAGTATATTACCTTGGATAGTAGCAGCTGTTCCCTCTTATTTTCAGCAGCACTTACGAAGATTGCTAATAATAACGCACTACCTTCTGCTACGGATGATGCAAGACAGTATTTTTAATGTCTATAATAAGGGTGTTCCATGGAGTTTGGTATTTTCCAAATTACACTGTAACATTGGTACTACATCTGAATAATTTTATCTTGCTTTGGCAACAAGTCAAATATCTAAAGTTGGTATGACTTAACTTTACTGACTGATTACAATTATTAACCTGTATTTTCCCCTTAATATCTTATAATTAACCAGTTTCCCTCTTTAGAAGTTTAGCTATTTTAGTTACCTTGCTTAATACACTACATGAAAAGAAACTAAAGTGTCAATATATTTCAGTAATCACATTTTTCTTCTTCTTAGATAACTTTGCTGTCTGTCTAGAGGAAATGTCTGGTAATGTTGAAGTTAAAAATCAAACCCTTTATCTTAACAATGAATTTATTCAAAATACCATAAAAAATTAATAACATTCAGTTTGGATTTAAGTCTTAAGGATTAATTACAACCTAGAGATCTTCTTTATCCTAAAATCCATGTTCTTTTGCAACTGTAGTTTTCCCTAGATTTATAAGAATTGTTTAACTTTTTAAAAAGTCTAAAGTTATTCCACTACACGGGATATTTTAAACATGGATATTATTCATTTGAAAAAAGCAAATAAAAGATATGGCTTAAAGCATAAAAAGTTCTTTGTAGTCATGGCTTATCATTTGGCATAAAAATTCTAGAGATAGAATTACAGAAATCAGATCCATAAAGAATCTTGGTAGTGCAGAGTTCTTCATTATCCGTTTTATCGGAATGTAACTTAAACTGTTGTAATCCTTTTGCCCTTGTGACTACTATCATATAAAGTTTTGAAGACTGGAATTAACCCAAGAAATAGAACAAAGCTCTACTTTAAATGAAAATCAGTGTTAGTATGAAGATAAACACTGGGGCTAGAATATTTCATGTTTGCCTCATTTAGTATTAGGGACATTTAGAATTCTATCCTATTTATGGGTGATAACATTGGTAAATGACCTATCACAAGATACCAGAACCTTCAAGATATTAGGTGAACTCTTGAAGATCTGTCCATTCACATATTGGTGGACATATTAGATGATCAGTAAAAATTTGTTGAATTGTATGAAGTGAAAAGTCAAGTATTTGAATAATACTTTAAAGTTATCTTATTTACTACTTCAATGGTATTTTGATTCTCTTTGCAATAATTATGCATATTTACTTCAGAATAGAAAAGGTCTCAAACCTTAGCTTCTCTAGGTTAACATACTGTATTTCCAAATTTATAACCATAATTAAAATCATAAGTTTTTGAAGAGTCTCAGAACAGACTAAAAAATATCACTCTTACAACACAGTGAATCCTAATGTAAACAATGTACTTTGTGTGATAATGATGTGTCAATGTAGGTTCATCAATTATAACAAACAGGGCCAGCCGAGTGGCTCAGTTGGTTAAGAGCTCGCTCAAGAGTGTGAGCTCTGAGCAACAGTGGTTCAAGTCCTGGCCCGAGCTGAGCTGCCAACAGGTGGCAGGATGGCTCAGCTATAAGAAACAAAACAAACAAACAAACAAACAAAAAACAAACAAGCAAATTATAACAAACATACCACTCTGGTGGGGGATGTTCGTAATGGGGGAGGCTGTGCATGAGAAGGACAGAGAGTATGTGGGAGATCTCAATTTTGTTGTAAAACTAATTCTGCTCTGAAAAATAAAGTCTATTAAAAAAACGGCACTTATTCCAAAAATGTTAAAGCTTTAAGTAGAACTCTTCCTGAGACCTCATTTAGTTTATGTTCATTTAGTTGCTATTCCAGGTCGTTTGTACTATCTATTGTAAATTCTTCAAGCAAAGCAGTTGATTACAAAGCAAAATTAGATAAACATTATCTTAAATTCTATTATACAATAAAGCTGACTTCAAAGATCTACTTTAACAAAATTTAATGCAAAGATTCTAGATTTATATGAGATCCTATTATCTGATCACATTACCTAGTAAATTATACACATGCTCGCTATTGATAAAAAATAATGTTCACCAATATATCACATGAATGGTGTGTTTTATTCTTTGAAGAATGGTTCTGAAACATCACACTAAGTCAGGCTGAAGGTAAAGTTTAAAACAGTTTTATAAGGATATGTTATAACATATGTAATGACTGTTCACTCTACAAAATCTTGATCATAGAGTTTATGATACACCTAGTTGGCAGTAGCACCCAAGTGTTCCAAATAGTCAGTCATCATTTTTGTGTTGTCTGCATAGACTTCTTCTCATTAGCTGCTTTCTGCTTTTGTTGCATGATCTCAGAGTCCCTACAATGGGAGAAAAGGCTGTAAGTTGTTACAGAAAAGCTGATAATGTTCTCACTTGTTTTCTCTATATAACCCATTCAGTGTATTAGAAGATAATTTAAAGGACGATATAAACATTTATGTCTTTCCATTTGCATGGATGGAGACAGAATGAGAAGGCAAAGAATGAAAAGGCTTGCAGTCAGATATTTTGAATACTATCTCTATTGTTATCGTGACCTTGGCAAATAACCTCAAAGCCCTTTCAAAATTAGAACAGTACATGTCAGCATTGTTCTCAGGAATAGCTATGAATACATACATTTTATATATATATATATATATATATATACACACACACACACACACACACACACACACACACACACCAACATGTGACATTAGCTAACTATATGCAGAAAGAATGACTCTCTTTGTTGTCAACCAAGTTAATTCACTCTAAATTTCTTCCTGAAAAATGGGGGATTTATGAAGTATCCTAGATATCCTAACTGTACCTAGGATTAGAACATAGATGTTATGAAGCAATTCAGTTTCTTACAAGCCTAAAAGCCCAATAGCTAGTGATTAAAAATGGATTACACTAAAGAAAAGCAGGATATTCAGGGATTTTTTTTTTAACTGTTTGTGTCTCTGGCTGAATTCCACATGCCATATTAAGAGTGAACTATTGGGGGGAGGGGGGTTGTTACTCTGTGAGGGTGAAAAGGATAACTATTGCATTGTTCTGTACACCTGAAACTAACAATAAAAAAAAAAAAAAAGAAAAAGAGTGAACTATAACCAGGCTACCTAGGGTAGATGGTCCATGAGACCCAAATTTAAAAAGAAAAAAATTAAATGGCTATGTATTAAACACCTACTATGTGCCAGACACTTTACTGACTCTTGATTAAGCCTCACAACAACCCTGAGTTATTATCCCCATGTTTTAGGTTAAAAAAAATTAAATTAAAGGCTTAGAGCTAAATAATTTTCCCCAAAATAAATAAAAACCAAGGTTAGTCCAATTTCAAGGTCCAGGCTGTTTCCTATCTTGTTATTGCATAGATTTAATATTATATTTTAATTCAGGATAAGTATCTCTATTCATGACAGTAAGACATTTCTGCAAAAAGAGTAGCAAAAATAAGAAATGAAAAGGAAGAAAAAACAAGACAGATACCAACAAATGAGGTATTGTAGAAAAGAATAGTGATAGTTTTTTCTGTTTAAAACCAAGCTCTGCTGTGCTTGCTGTATGACCTTAGTATTGCTATGAAAGTTCAGAGCTTCAGTTTCCTTTTCTATGCATTGAGCCTACTACCACTTTTCAGGGCTGTGATGAAGAGATAATACATATAGAACAACTAGCACAGAGCTTTATAAGAAGTGGGAATTCATTAAACAGTGGCTATTACTGAACCAAGCTAGACTAGGTTCCCTAATTAGGGTCACTGATTTGTACCACTTTCACTTTTATTCCAGTGTGAGTAAACAGAAATTTAAAAGTTTATCATTTTAATAATAAATGTTATAGAAAGAAAGTGTGAGGTGATATTTAAGGGCTTCTAACTCATTAAACAATGATTTTTAATTCCGTCTGCACATCAGAATCACCTAGGGAGCTTTTTAAAAGTCAGGTTTAACTTAGGTACAATACAATTTACCTAGAGCACCTTTTAATGCCCAACCTCAGACCAATAAAACAAGGACTGGGTGGAAGGCACAGGCTTAGGTGGACAGCAAGGTTTCCCAGGTGGTTCTAATGGTTAGCCAGGTTTGAAGACCATAGAGAAGCCATGTTGAAGCACGTTAGTCAAGTATTCACTGACCTACAAGTTCCACATGGACAACAAAAGTTGGTTTTAGAATAAAACTAAACTTTAACTTTTTTTTTTAACATGAATGCATTTTTTTTCACTTAAGCTCAGGTCTCAAAGTATTTTTGTGGGAGTTTTGTATTACTTGTCACATACAGTCGTGTATCAAAGATGTGTACTTGCATTGTCTCCAACCGAATGGATCTTCAGAAGTGAATATAGCTACATGTACTTTTTGTGTATCTCTTTCAGAACAATTATCACTATAATCGAGTCACTTGTTACCCAGGGTAGTTTGAGTAGAATGTCTGCTTTGAAAATGTTGTAACCCTAACGGTGAGCATATGGAAGATGTTCAATTATTTTGCTAAATGAAGTTCTCATGGTTGTGGTGGATTTGCATGAGATTCTCTGCAAGACAAATTACAGTTTGGGAGCTTTAAATTCTTCATCCATGGGTTGGGAAGACAACTACCCCATATAGTTTTACTATGCCTAGCACACAACAGATATTCAACCGTTACCTCTTCCTGCCTGGTTCTACCAAGGATTTTAAAAATGCTTTTTATTCTCTAAAATGAAAACTTCAGTGACTTGAGGATTCCATGAGTATCACTGACCTCTGCTTTCGCTGAGAGGCAGTCAAGCTATCATCTTTTCTTTTTCCCTTGCTAATTTCCTGGGATTTCTTCATATTTTTCTGGCGGGCAAGTTCTCGTTGATTTCCACCTATAAAGAGAAACAGTCATGCTCTTTTCCCACCTCCAAAATTATTAATTCCATTATAAGGCTCTTATTTAAGAGCATATTAAGTTTGCTTTTGAATAAGATAAGCCATCAGAGTACTGCACTCAATGGTGTTCCCAGATCTGACCACAAGGAGGAAGCTTAAAGGTAAACACTTAAGGTCTTAAGAGTATTATCATACCAATCAAGGTGTTCACTGGCTGTAAATACCAGATCTCTTAAAACAGGCGTTCCAATAGTCTGTACATATGGGCCACTATTCCAAAATAAGTTCTGGCTTTTGAGGGGTGTGGGTGGAAAGAGAAAGAGAAACACAGAGATCACACCTCGCACAAGTTGGCTCACCGCAATCCAACTGTTAAGCAAGCAAATGCAGATGCCTGTAAAACATTACCTGCGAGGGCCAAACAAAAGAACTAGGGCCGAGACTTATTCGGAACTCCCAGTTTTTATCAGGCCTTACAATTTTAAGTACCGGCTATAAACCACCTCCAGACCAGGACCCCTCCCGAGGCTGCCTTCTCCACATACCGGATCCACACACCCCACCTCCGGGGAGGTGTTCCTTTACCGTGTGAACTCGCACCTGAAGGACAGGCACCTGCCTGACCTTTCAGGCCATACAGAAGCCAAAGGTCCCTCTCTCTCTCTGCTGATTGAAGACAGGGTCCCCCACCCGGCCGGACCCATGGGGATTCACCAGCCAGCCCCCGCCTCCCCGCCAACCGCCTTCTCAGTGATCCATTAGGTTCACTCCCGGACGCTCCCCGCCGCTTCCCACACCCGTCCGCACACTCACGGGCCATGCCAATAACCGGACCGAGCCTGAAAGAGAGCGACTCGGAAAAACAACGGCTTCCTCGCACGCTCGCGACAGTCCCCACCAGTGGATGCGGAAGGCTGAGCCGGGGCTGGCCCTCCGCCTGGCGACGCCTCTGTTCTGTCCACCGCCCCGCCCACCGAGACCAGACCTGAGCGGCCGGCTGGGTCGGCGAGCGACTGCGCGTGCGCTGCTGGGCGGGCGTGGCGGGGCGGAGCGCCACGGGGGCTCCCGGGCGTCAGCGCCCGGGAACCAGACCGCGCCTTGGGAGTTCTGCCGAGCAAGTTTGGTCGAGTCCAGAAAGCAGGTCCTGTGTCTTAGAGAGGGATAGGCGTGTGTGGATTTTCCCCACCGTGTGCCGGGGACTGGGGCTTGGCCAGCCCCGTTTTTGGTAATGACAAAAACGACAATAAACGCTACAATGTCTAACTTTCCGACAAAGAACGTCAGCTTTCTTCATCTCCTAGCAGCGGCGGGAAGGTGAAGAATGGGACAGAACAGACTGCGGGTTAACTGTGAAAGGCAGTGTCGGCCCTTTACTTAATTTCCTTCTTTATTCTCGCACTAACCCTGCAAGGTAGGCAGGCTTCATTGTTCTCACTTTACTCAAGAGGAGACTTGAGACTCAGACCAGAAGCTACCGACCCAACAGGTCGGGACTGGTAGAAATGAGATTCACATTTAAGACGGACTCTACAGTCTGTTCGTTTCCCATTTTATCCCAGTTGTCCTTGTTACGGTCGACGGTACTTTAGGAGTTTTAGCTTAATGGCTTTGGGCTTGTGTCGTGTGATGAGGAGAGGATGGCAGGGCATGCAGTCTTACCACGCGTTCAGAATAGCCCAGAAAAACCTTGGAACCTATGTAAAAGCTGTGGAGCATCTGCCATTGCTAGAGACAGACGTGTACAGGTGCTCGATGGTTCATTTGGTTGCCACTTATTTTCTTTATATATTCCATTAATCATTACAAACAAATATGTAGAGTTAGTCTGGACACCCTAAAATTACCGTTTCTTTTAAAGCTTTTATTTTGGAAAAACTCAAACATTTACAAAAGTCTAGAAAATACTTTAATAGACTCCAAGTATACATGACCAAGCTTCAGTAATTTTATTGTACCTCATAAGCATCGCCTATTTTAGGGAACGCAGGAGAAAACGAAGACTGAGGGCTCTGGAGATGGAATGTCTGGGTTCAAAGCTCAGCTCTACCAAGGAGTAGCTGTGTGAAATTGGGCACGTATGTCACTGCATTAAAGCTTCCTTGCCAGTAAAATGGGGGAGGTAGTTGTACCTCTTTCATTAATTGAATTAATATTAATATATGTGAACTACTAAGTGCTCAGCCTATGGTGGCACTCAATATGTTAGCTGTTGTTGTGATTATCCTTTCAATCTCTGGGAGCCTTGCATGCTTATCACTCTCCACACGCCACCCCTCTTCAATATGGTTTACAGCCAGGTGTTTGTTTACACCTAGCGAACCTCTTTTGGAGTAACTCGAGCAAGGGGAAAAAATTGACTTTCTGGCCACGCTCTTTATAGAGACAAAGATTGTCTAAAGATGAAGGGAGGGAAGGTATTTGGGATTGGAAGGTAAGTAAGCGGTAGAGTTCTTATTTCTCTATGTGATCTTAATTTACAGTCTAATTGAGCTTTGTTTTTGCAGCTGAAAATATAATTTTTGAGCTGTAGGGATACACATGACGTACACTGTGTACATCAGGAATGTTGGGTGTGTCTGCCAGAGAAAACTGGAGACTTAAAATACTGTGATGACATTAAGAATTTAGTTCACAAACTTGTATGTATAACAGATATCTTACAACTTTATATTTAATAATAAAATTAAATCTTACTCTGTTCCCATCCCTTTACTAACGTGAAATTATTGACTTCTTTAACTACAGAATTGTGGAAATACCCTAGACTCTTATGTGAAATAGAGCATTTGGGGAAAGTCCTTGTGTCTTCAGTTTATACCATAATATGCTGTCCAAAAGCTATATGGTCCTGGCAGTGGCTCCAAGATTCCTGAGACATCTTCAGCAGGGGTTTCTTTGTAGTGTTCTTGAGTTCCTTTAGGTTTATCTGGGGTTCGGTTCCTTCCCCAGAATACTGGAGGGAGAACCCACAGGCCTCCATTTTTCCCCCAGTCTTGGAGGAATCTCTTTTCTGTGCTTTCAGCCTTGCCTTCCTACTCTCAAAAGCACTTTTCTCTTTTTCTCCCTCTGGTTGACCTAGTAATCTCTTCAGTCAGTTCAGGATTTTATTTCTTTGACGTTTTGTTATTAATGTAGCAAGATGTTCTTCATTTTCTCCTTTCAAGAAGGATGTCAGGCCTTTGTGTTTCCGTGAGTCAGGGGATTTGTATTGCAGGCTCAACCATGGTCCATACTTTCTGTACAGCCAACCTTGTCTCTCGCCAGTTTTCCTCTATCATAGAGGCCTTCCCTAACCAACCTACCTAAAGTAAGCCAGTCTCCTATTAATCTCTGTCATCATACCCTTTATATATTTTTTATGGCATTTAATGCATCCTTTTATTATTTATTTATTTATTTAATTAGTTTCAGGTGTACAAAAACAACACAGTGATTAGACATTTACAGGCCTTACAGAGTTATCCCCAACAAATCTACTACCCATCTGACACCGTGCGTAGCTATTACAATACCATTGACTATATTCCCTATGCTGTACTTTACATCTCGTGAATATATATATAATTATAATTGGCATTCAATATTAGTTTCATGTGTACAGTGCAGTGGTTAGACATTTATATAATTTATGAAGTGATCCCCCAATAAGTCTAGTACCCATCTAATACTGTACGTAGTAATGCATTCTTTTATTTTTAAATATTTTATTGGGGATTTTATTGGGGAATTGGGGCAGGGGAACAGCCAAGTTGTTGTCCTTCAACCTTAGTTGTGGAGGGCGCAGCTAGCTCAGCTCCAAGTACAGTTGCCATCGGGCTGCCTGGCAGCAGCTCACGACCGCTCAGCTCAAGGCACCGTGTTGGATCTTAGTTGTGGGTGGGCGTAGCCATCCCATGTGGGAGACCAACTGGCAACCTTGTTGTTAGGAGCACTGCTCACACCAGCTGAGCCATTCTGCCATCTGTTGGCAGCTCAGGGGCAGCTCAGTTTGGGTGCAGCTCACTGGCCCATGTGGGAATCGAACCGGCGATCCTGTTGCTCAGAGCTCGTGCTCTTAACCAACTGAGCCACTTGGCCCACCCAGTAATGCATTCTTAAGTTATCTTGTTAATTTGTTTGTTGTATTTTTCCTCCCAACCCAGAATGTCGTTTATTGCTCTATTATTTTCTGAAGCAGATTAAGAATGCTCACATTAATTTAAAAAGTTTTAACTATAATAATTTTTGAACAGGTAATACATTCACATTAAAAAGTACACAAGCATATTCAGTGAATGGTCTTCCTCCCATGTCATGTTCCCCCCAAACCCTAGGAGCTAACTATTATCAATTTCTTCACACCTGAATTTCTAATCTATGTTCTACTCAATTTAGAATTTCTAAGCCCTGGGAATGTGGTGGTGAACAGACACTACCCTACAGTGTCCACCTCCTTCCTCTATTTTCAACAATTCCTAAGGACCCCCGGAGAGGGGAGAGCACACGCCTTGAGTCTCTATTTCCGGTTCACAGGTAACCTAGACGCTGTAGTTTTACAGTTACCATGGCTACTGGCGGTGTGCATCTTATGTAATTCTGTGGCGCTCACTGATGACGCAATTAGTTCAGGCGCCATCTGAGGGCGGGGAGCAAGGTGTAGAGGAAACTTAGCTCTCAGTGTAGCAGGGTCATGAAGAAGAGGCGGCGGCGGGAGGCAGGAGGAGGCGGCGGGGGCGTGAAACTGCGGTAGCTGCCTGCTGGCCTGGTTTGTGGCTTTGTGGCAAGGGCGTAGTTCCTAACCCCCTTTCCGGGCCGCAGCCGGGGCTCGGGGCTGAGAGCGGCCTTGGGGCCGCCTCCCCGGGCCCCCTGGCTCCGCCATGTTCCGCAGGGCACGCCTTAGCGTGAAGCCGAATGTCAGGCCTGGTGTAGGCGCCAGGGGCATCACCGCCCCCAATCCCCAACGTGGGCAAGAGGCTCCCAGGCCGCCGGAGCCGGCAGCGGCCTCTGCCCCGAAGCCCGCGGAGCCCACAGATGAGACCCCGGTGGATTTCGGGGGAGCGGATCCCCAAGAAGAGGCTCCCAGGACCAGGTAAGTGCTTGAAGAGGGGAGCATTTTCATCTGCTGCGCTTCCCCGGTCTTGTCAGCTGGAAGCAGAGCAGGTGAACTTGACCGTTGGAGTAACTCCCTTGCTTGCACTAAGTGTTACAATTGAGGCCTGATGAACCCACTCTCCAAACTGCAGTTTGTGCGTCTAACCACAGGGTGTGGCACGTGGGGATTTTGTTATGATCTGTAGATGCTCGAGGAGGGTACCATGTCTTCCAAGTGGTCGTGGGAGGAATCCAGGTGTAACAGTCTTGAAGTGAAGAATATCCACACGTGATACTCTTCTTTAGAGAATTTCTAGATTACTGTAGTTTTCAATCTTCTGTAATACTTTGCAGGGATAAGTAGTTTTGTTTTTGGTTTTGTTTTTTTGGTTTTGTTTTTGTTGTGTTTTAAGGAGGGCGCAGCTCACAGTGGTCCATGTGGGGATGGAACTGGAAACCTTGGGTTATAAGCACCACCTTCTAACCAACTGAGCTAACAGGCCACTCCTACCTGCCTAGTTTTTAAAATTAGAATATTTAAAAGAAGATCCATGATGCCCTTTTTTTTCTTTCTGAATTACAACAGTGATGAAAAGACTGATGGTGAGAATGATGTTGAAGAATCCGGTAAATCTCCCTCTACTGTTTCACAGAGAAGAAAACGGATATCAAGTACTGCTACTCTGGTTAAGCCTAGTGTCAGTGTTCCTTCAGAGCCTCACCCCTTATCTACAGTTAATCAAGAAGCTCCACAGCCAAAACCCATTCCAACAAAAGAGAAACAGCCATGCTCAGACAGGTACCGAATATATAAAGCCCAGAAACTGAGAGAAATGTTAAAAGAAGAATTAAGAAAAGAGAAGGTAAGAGAAAAATCCAAATTTTGACTGTTGCCTGCTAGATTTCTGTTTTTATGTCAGTCCGGTATCATCTGGAGGAAAAAATAAGCATCTGTAGCATTTTTAATGGGGGAATAAAACCAAATAACATCCCTCATGTTAGTGGAGTATCCCCTTTTGTTAACAGAATGATTAAGAAGCACTATGGACTTAAACTATTTTTTTCCATTATATTAATTTTTATATATTTTTATTCATCTATATCTTTTATTTTTGGTGAAAGCCACAAATAGAACACTCTCTCTCTCTCTCTCTCTCTCTCTCTCTCTCTCTCTCTCACACACACACACACACACACACACACACACACACTTATAAAATAAACTTTCAGTCAGACTTTTTTGTGAGGTTGTCCAAGTGACATGAATTATATTCATTTGATATAAGACAAATATAGTTGAGTGAAAATGAATTGGTAATATTTTCTAAATTGACAATATGGTAAATTATAAATGGGAAAAATTTGCCTGTTTGCGGAGAACCCATGTTCTTTTTAATCTTGAAGATTATTTTTCTGAGAGGACAATGTAACAGTAGTGAAGAGTGCAAGCTCTGGAATTAGATACTTAAAGTTTGAATCATCCTTTACTGACTGTGTTACTTTAGGCAATTTAATATTTCTGTATCTATTTCCTCATGTTTAAAATAGGACTAATGAGGGATGGCTAGTTAGCTCAGTTGGCTAGAACAGGGGTAGGCAAACTTTTGAGATAGAAGAGCCAATCCTGTCCCTCACAACAATTTAAAAATTATTCGAGAGCCATAAAATAAATGAAATTACTATTATGTGAATAATATTTAAAAATTTTATAAATGAAACTGTGATAGTTTTATTTTCATTTTCAATTTTACTTCAGAGTCACATGTATGTACCCAAAGAGCCGCATGTGGCTCGTGAGCCGCAGTTTGCCGACCCCTGGGCTAGAGCATGGTGCTAATAACACCAAGGGCTGCTGTGAGCTGTACCTTCCTAAAAAAAAAAAAAATAAGGGCCTGCCGAGTGGCTCAGTTGGGTAAGAGCTCACTCAAGAGTGTGAGCTCTGAGCAACGGGGTCACCGGTTTGATTCATGGCCCAAGCTGAGCTGTCGCTGAGCTGCCAACAGGTGGCAGGATGGCTCAGCTAAAAAAAAGGAAATGTTATAAGAAAACAAATTATAAAAGAGAAGCAAATCAGAAAAGAATTAATAAATTAAAAAAAAAAAAAAAAAAAAAAAAAAATAATAGGACTAATGATAGTATCTACCTCATTGGAGGGTTGTGCAAGATTAAATGAGTTAATACATGTAAAAACTCATTTAGGCTAGTATCTGGCAAATAATAAGACCCCAACAAATGTCAGCTCGTATTTATAGAATTTTTTTTTTTTAATTTTTATTTTAAGGGGGGCGCAACTCATAGTGGCCCTGCTGGGATTGAACTGGCAACCGTGGTGTTACTAGCTCCATGCTCTAACCAACTGAGCTAACCAGCCACCCTAGAATTCTTTTTTTAATCAAGAGGAAGGCATTTAGCTTGGTGCTTTATATTTGTTATTTAATTCTCTCATCTGTGTGAAGTAGATATTACTAATTTACACAGGAGAAAACAAGCTCAAAAGAGGTTGTTTCCTTTGTCAAACATGAGTGGAGCATAAGGGATTTGAATTCATATCCTCTACAATCTAGGCTTCCAAAAATGTTCTGTTGTATAGAATATGCTTAATTAGATTTATTTTGGGCAATTAAAAATTAAACGTTTGCTTCAAGAATTTTATAAGATACACAGAATTCCAGTTCACTGCAGGGTAAACAAAAGCTATGTATTTATTTGTAGTTAAAAGGCATCAGTAAACATGATTCTAAACATTGGGCTTTTATTGAGTCCCAGTCACTTTAGTTTTTAAAATTCTTTAATGTGCTACAACTCTTTAATATTCAGTTTATAAAATATTTCCTAAAATTAGGCAAAATTTTGGTGGGAGTAATATTCAAGCACTTGCAGTGAATGCAACAGTGGGCTGTATGCTTGAATATAGTATATTTGAAATTCCATATTTATAAAATAAAAGTGGATTTTGTGTGTGTGTGTATCTAGAAGCAATGGAAAAACAAATATGCCATAAATGAAAGTCAGAGGCCACAAGATCGTTCAAAAATGACTATGAGAGACTTCATATATTACCTGCCAGATAACAATCCAATGACGTAAGTAAACTTTATTTCTGTTTTACTTTGTTTCAGTATGTAGCAATTTAAGTATCATTTTTAGAGTACAGTTTCATGTTTTCCAAAATCATGTTGACAAATTTATAGCACATCTGATATCCTTTTAAATAGAATTTTACAACAAAAATCAGTGATATTTCAAGTAACTGCATTCTTGGGGTGGTAAGGCCCTTTACTTCTGAGATTAAAAATAAGTTTCCTTTGTTATATTACCAAGATGTAGTAAAACTAAGCTTTATTATGATTGCAATTTCTATTTCTTGCACACTATAACCTGATTTAAAGGGGTGATCTAATTTTTATGCCGTATCTCTTAATTAAATGCAGTAGCATTTGATTAACAAATCCTCCAAGAACAAAGCTTTAATCAAAGTTAGCCTGGGGAAACAGAGGGTTTAATGATAAACCTCCTCATTGTTGTGTTGTTGATGATTTAGCCAGTGGATGTAGGAGTAGTGGCATATTTTCAGTACAGACTTTTTCAGGTTCACTAGGTCTTTGGCTTAGTTGAAGGAAGGACCAGAAACCTAGGTTTTGAGTTGTTTGACAAGCTACTAGGTTGCTTCATTCCTTGAGACTGAGGAATTAGAGGGTAAGAGAGTTCCCCACTTGGGCCTAACAAATTATTATTATTATTATTTTTTTAGAAGGCCAACTGTATACATCTTTCCCAGATGTATACATTCCTAGGGCATTTATTTATTTATTTATTTATTTATTTATTATTTTTTTTTATTGGGTAATTGGGGGGATGGGAACAGTACTGGGGAATTAGGGGAAGGGGAACAGACAAGTT